ATTGGTACTTGATACACATATCCCAGGCAAATTTCGGTGTTTGTAGTAGACTAGTTCTTTTAATTAAAACAGAATATAGTTATGTGCAATTAACAAATTTTTATAATTAAAAAAATTAGCCATTGATCCGCCATATAATGGGTACATTTGGAGTGATGTTGTTAATCCTAAAACAATATAAATTACACAAAAAAACACAATCAAACGTACACTTAGTACCTGACATTTCACCAATTTTGCCCTCTGATGTAGCTTTAGCAGATGTTCCATGTAAACCAGCAAAATCATGATCGCTCCCAGAATACACACTGTTCAAGTTCCCAATTCCCTGATCAGACCCATGAGTCTCTTTATCAGAGGCCATTGCATGTGGGTTTTGAAAATTTTGAGAAAATTGAGCAGTTTTGGCCAAGCCCAGATGAGAATCAACTCCATTGTTGATGGAGGTGGAGCTCTGTTTTGCTAGAGTCACCGGCACCCAGGTGCACTTTTTATTTAACTCTTCTTCGTCCATTGCATTGTCAAGTTCCATGGATAAAACTTTAATACAGATATCCGTAGTCAATTCTCTTGAATAATAAAACAAGAAAAACAAGAATTGAAAAGAGAATAAGCTAACACAGATAAAAAAAGAGTTTAAAAGAAAACATACTTTATGAACCACAAAATCACACTAAAGTTGCACGTAATTTTAGGTTATAAAGACGACGGCCATGGACAACCTTAAGCCAGTTTAAGGTTTAAACAGACTAGTTTATAGTAGTAGAGAGGTACTGAGGTAGTATAGCTCAAACTCTCTTTGTTTGATTGAGTCAATAACAAAACTGTAAAAATTTTAGGGGAATTTGGCCATTTAACCTCCCTAGACAATGTATTTGGTTAAATGGCCTTTGACCAATGATAAAAATAAATAACAAAATGTAAAATATTTTACTTGGTAAAATGACAAAATTCTCCTCTAATTGTTAACATAATATCCTCCATTTTTTCTCATTTTATTCTCTTCCACCTTAAAACCCTAATTTCTATTTTTTTTTTAAATAACGTCTTCTT